TAAGACGATCACTTATCATTAACAAACATGTATGGTAAGATATTACCCCAAAGTAAAAACACAAATGACTAACTGGAACAAAAAGATCTCACAATTAATAATACAGAGGTTAATTTTATAGGAAACAACTCTAGATATAGCTTAGAAAAATATGAACTTCCTGATGAGAAAAAGAAATGCAAATACTTTTTCCACAAAACAATGCTCAAGTTCATACACAGCTAGAGAAACAAAATGGTATGAGTTACGGAGCCAGTTGCTCACCTTTCAGATTGCCAAAATTTAAAACTTAGCTCATGACTTCTGGTCACGAGATAAGTGCAGGAAGAGGCATGTTCCTCACTTTCTTGTGCCAGCTGGACTCCAATGAAAAGCATTATTCCTTGACCCAAACATTCCAGTTCCACGAGGTGTCCCAAAGATACCCAGGCAAAAGAGGAAAGCAAATGTTTCACAGTTATTCATAATGTTCTGTGAGTAAAAGTGAAACCAAATTGCAAAAAACTCAACACCACCTGGTCATTCTTGAGTAGGAGACCAGCAAATGGACAACTGAACCCTCCTGTACCACAGGCCACACAGGTAGGAAAGGAGCCCAAGTCTTTACATGTGACTAGAGAGAACAATTCTGGATACGCTGATACAGCATGTGGATAGGACATACAGCAAGTTCTACAATATGTCTCAAAACCTAAGGGACAAATCTGAAAATATATTTCTTTACGGTAAGGATGATGAGAGACAGAGACAGAGAGAGAGAGCGAGAGAGAGAAAGAAAGAGAGTGAGAACATTTTCAAAAGGGACTTGTACTTTAAGATAGAGAACAGGACTGATTGACCTTCCTGCCTTAAACAATTGGTAGAAACAAAAGCACATGTTCATTCAAAGATATGTTCACACATATTCATGCTGACTTTGTAATAGAAAAAATCTGAAAATAGCAGATGAATGGATAAAATTGTGATATGTCCTTGTCAAAAACGTTCTCAATGATGAAGAGGATAACCATAGTTAATATGTGTCAGCTAGAACTTCAGTATATTTTACTGCATGAGAAGCCAGCATAGCAGTGTATACAATGCATGCAATATGTGCCTCTAATTATATAAAATTCTACAATACACAAGCAAATGGAGAGTGCCAGCAGATCCATAGCTGCCCCAAGGTGAAGAGCCCGGAGGATTGGCAAACAGATGATGGATGTTCATGATCTGAATGATGGTGTTGATTTTGCAGACTGTTAGTGTTTAAAATGTTTCAAAATCCAACTATGCCAATAGCCAGGAGTGTTCTTGCGTTTCTGTGAGGGCTGTTACTGTTACTGTTTCCAGTTTATTCCCATGTTCATGAAGTTCCACTCCCTCACAACAGAAACCTCCCAGCCCCACCCACCCTGCTTAATACACAGTGTAAAATTAACATTCTGCTCTAGCTCGGGGCTCAGACTTTGGAGTACGCAGTTCCTCTGAACCTGCTGCTGTGGTAAATTTTGGTTTTCTCCTCTTCTCTGAGCATCACTGGTGCCTTCGATTCCATAGCATTAAAGATAAAATTGTGCTAATAGTTTCAGGAGTAGGTACATATCCCAAAACGTCAACTTGGCACTTTAAGAAGATGGATGTTATGTGTTTTAATATACCATGTTCTGCTTCTTTGACTATGACCTTATGTAAAGATTTTACCTAATCACAAGACAACTTTAAAGGAAAAATCTCTCAATACGATGAATACAACCACAACAACAGACCCTCAGGACAAACTCAGGAATGACTTCAGAGAAAGTAACCGGCTCAAGACCAAAGTGTTTTTCTCAAAAACCTGTGAATCAATCTTAAATTTGTTTTCAACAACTGCATTGTTTTAGTCAGTATTGGCAGAGTTATTCCATGGTTGTACAAACCCTGTGGAATGAAGATGAGTCATTCTGTTGGAGAAGCATTGCCTTGGGAATGGGTAAAAAAAGATGTGTAAGAACAAGTTGGGAAGTTGAATAGGAGCCCTGTGGTCCTCAGTGGACTCTCACTTAGTGTCCACTTGCCATCTTTTGAATAAATACTTTGTGACTATAGTTAATGAAGAAGCTGAGGTGGAAGAGAGTGTTTCTGTTGGAAGTGAGGAGCTTCCTTCTTTTCAGTAGATGTTTTCCAATGTCATGCTCCTCCTCAAGGGACTGAGTCTCCTCGTAGTAACAGCTGATTATGTCCTGGAGGGATTGCACAAGTGAGTGCAGGACACACTGAAATATCAAAACACTGATGAAACCTTCAGTGTCTGCTACCTTCAGATCAAATGGACTCAGTTTATTTTCCGTAGGAATGTAAACTGCCCACCATCAAGTACACCAAAATCCAAGAGCTATTTTTGTAGGAATTTTTTTAAAAGGAGGCAAACCCCTCCTTGTGCACATCTTGCTCATGTAAGCTGGTAAAAAAAAAATGGAGAGAAGCAAGCATTGCATTTGCGTTTCCAGGAATATTGTCCCTGAGCATAGCCATACATTGTCTTTGGAATTGTCCCTGCTAATCCACAGCAAAGGGGTAGTGGAATTAACTGAGGATTACAGTTTTGCCATGCCTCATGAAATGGTGGCTCTGAGTGAGGAACCCTGCGCCATGATAGGTAGGGGTCCAGGTAGAAAAAGCATGCATGTGTGTGTGCGTGTGCATGCACATAGGGGTGCACACTCATTGTGTGAACACTTCACAGCTTCTCTCTTCAGAAGTGCCAATCAGTGTATGTTCTGGCAGTAGCCTTCATTCAGCCCCTGTGACTGCAGCTTGGTACCTGTCATCTCCCCTTCTGCACCACCTTCCTGTCCCCGGTGATCACCATTCCACTCTGCTTCTGGGAATTCTGCTCTTCTACAGCCCCCAAGAAGTGAGAGCATGCAGTATTTTAATTTCTTCCACTTGCTCATTTTCCTTGGCATAATCATCCCCATCCATCTTCTGACCAGCAGCAGGCTTTCTTCCTTCTTAGGTGTGAATAATATTCCATTTTACATCTAATCCATAATATGTTTATTCGTCCAGCAGTTGATTGCAGTCCTTGGCTATTAGGAATAATCCTGCAGTGAACGCAGAAGTACACAGAGCTCTTCTCCCTATTGTGATTCTTTCAGATGTGGGTGGGATAGTGGGATTGCTGGGTTGTATAGAACTGTTCTTGTTTTAATCTTCTGGGAAATTTCCTTGCTGTTTTGTATCATATCTACATCAGTTGATTGCTATTTTTGTGAGATAATATGTGGTTTTGTGCTATCTTTGGTTTTCAACAATTGTGCATGGTGTGCCTGGCTGTTATTTTACTGAGTATCCACTCTACTTGGGATTCCAAGATGTACTGGGCCTTCAGATTTGAAGTCTTCCATCAGTTTTGTCACACTGGGGCCAGGGCTCTAGCTCAGTGGCATGAGTTCCAACTTGCCATACATCAGTCCTGAGCTCGATTCCCGGTACACACACACAAATAGTGTGAAATATTTTTGTTAAACTGGCCCTCAGTACCTCTTCATTGATAGTTTCTGTCCCATTCTTCCTTTCCCCTTCCTGAGGTTCCCTTTGATGTCTATGTTAGGTCACTGCTCCATGTTCTCCTGAGTTTTATGCTTTTTGTCTGTACTGTCTTTGTCTTTTTTTTCCTCTCTGCACCTTGATGTGAATATTTCCTACTTCTGCTTTGATTTTTTTCTTCCACTGTGTTTTATCTGCTGCGTTTCAACCTTCTTGGGTTGTTTCTTTTGCGCGGGGGGGGGGTAATTGCGGATTGAACTCACAACCTCACACTTGCAAGGCAGGTGCATATGCCACTGAGCTCAATCTCTTGCCCTTTTGGATTCTTAATTTTGGCTTTAAACCTTTTGGATTTTACACTTTTCTCTGAATTCTATATTGTTAATGAAAATCACAATTTTTCTATTGTTTCACACACACTAACAATTTTTCTAAAGTCACTGTTGGCCCCTAGCTAAAGATAATCCTAGCTTTCTTTCTATTCTCTTTTATTCACATAGATGTTAATCACTTGGCTTTTTTTCCTAGTATGGTTTACATTTTTAATGAGGCTTGAGGTGATGTTAATTAACTAAATTTCCTCTGAGATAAGGGGTCCCTCAAATTTTACCTACATTGGTCAATTCCTATTGCTTACAAAAACTATTTTCTGAATTTTATTCAGGTGTCTTGGTTATCCTGCCTGCTTTGCTTTGCACTAGATCTTCCTCAAAGCCTTGTGAGGACATAGGTGGGGCTTTCTGCAGGCAGCTAATTCTGGGATTAAGGATGTGATCTTGTTGTTAGAGATTCAATGCTAGGGGTAATGGAGCTGTATCCTGGAAGCACGGAGAAAAAGCGCAGCAGAGCTGGGGACAAGAACACACACACTCACGTCACAGTTCAGTGACCACTTCGAACCAGGCCCCGGTTCCCACAGTGCATTCAGCCATGAAATCACGGAATGCTGTATCCACTGCTCAGGATGGACCCCAAGACTTCATCACCCGCCAAAGACCCCTGCTCTGAACACATGGGAGCTGGGAGAAACGTTTAGCTGTAATCCATAAGCAGAGGATTTTATGGCTTTCCAACAATGGGAGAAAAGAGACTATGGCAGAACAGACAAGGAGGAGAGAGGGAGAGAGAAAGAGAAAGAAAGGAGGGGATGCGGAGAGCCAGGAGGGCTGGAGCACACAACAGGAATGAACATGTAATGAAACATATGCTTTGAAAAATATTTCAGAATGGTTTGCTGTGGGCTATCAACCAACTTAACCCTACTCCTTCGTATTCCTAATACTTTAAACTAAAGTGTTTATTATTCTTCAGTGCCAGGAAAGAGCTATGCATGTAGTGTTATTTTCTTTCCCTCTTTGTTTTAGTTGCTTCAGGTTGGAATTTTTCTGAAGGTGAGAAAGACAATAGGAAGGCTCAGCTCTCTTGTGTTTTGTATGTGATTTATCACTATCAAGACAATCAGTACAAAGAGCCCGACAGAAGGTGTATTTCTATGACAAGAAAGGTTTACTTTTATTTAAAATGAGCATCAGTAAGACCCAGAAACACACAGTTTCAGGTACATCTGGAGTCTCCTTGCCTACAGGAAATAGGTGGCCCTGAGAGACCCTCAGTTCTGAGGTTGTGATCTTGCTTCCATTGGCCTTGCAAGAATTTCCATGTTCCAAATTAGAGGACCTGGAAGCTCGTATTAATTTCTTAACAGGTAGTGTAATGATTCAGTTCAACCAAAGAGACTTCGCCTGTGGCCAGCATGTGGTGCCACAGGTAGTGAGAATGTGCTCTCTGAGGTCATCCTTCAGACGCCCGAGATCTGCTTCTGTGATGACAAAAGTGAAGGGAAGCCCGGGGCAGGGACTCAGCAGCAAGGGATGGCGCAGCACATGGGGCGGGGACAGGTGGAGATGACACAGGTGGGGTGGTAGCAAGAGGTGTGGCAGGAGACCTGGCCACACACAGGACGAAATCCGCAGGACCAGCAGCGGCGGCAGCAGCTGGAGCCACAGCAGCTGGAACTGCCACAGGAAGGGCGGCAGCAGCTAGAGATGCAGCACTGGGGCCTGCAGCAGCTGGACACACAGCAGCTGGGGCGGCAGCAGCTGGGCTGGCAGCACTGGGGTTTGCAGCAGCTGGAGATGCAGCAGCTGGGCCTGCAGCAGGTGGGCTGGCAGCACACAGACTGGCAGCACTGGGGCCTGCAGCAGCTGGACACACAGCAGCTGGGCCGGCAGCAGGTGGTTCTGCAGCAGGTGGTCTGGCAGCACTGGGGCCTGCAGCAGCTGGAGATGCAGCAGCTGGGCCTGCAGCAGGTGGTCCTGCAGCAGGTGGTCTGGCAGCAGCTGGGCTGGCAGCAGCTGGACACACAGCAGCTGGGCCGGCAGCAAGTGGTCCTGCAGCAGCTGGAGATGCAGCAGCTGGGCTCGCAGCACTGGGGCCTGCAGCAGCTGGAGATGCAGCAGCTGGGCCTGCAGCAGGTGGGCTGGCAGCACACAGACTGGCAGCACTGGGGCCTACAGCAGCTGGACACACAGCAGCTGGGCCGGCAGCAGGTGGTCCTGCAACAGGTGGTCTGGCAGCAGCTGGGCTGGCAGCAGCTCTCTTGGCCACAGCCCTGCTCAGAGCAGACGGAGCCACAACAGGAGTTGACCATGGTGTCGGGGCAGAGGTTCTGGGTGGGTTTCTGGGAGAGTGGCTGTTCAGAGTTTGTTCCTTCCTTGCTCTCTCTGCCTTTTTATACCCTGCTGAGGGCTGCTATGACCATGGGAAGGATCTTGTTTATACTAAGAAAACATCAGTTGCTTTTACATAATTAGATAATTGTGTTTCTCTGGAAAAAATTCCTGTATAGAGAAAAGACACCGTTTCCTTTTCTTGTTGTGTTTAAGGTTATTCAGTTTGGTGAAGTGGGGTGAATCATCTTCATGTTTCCTCCAGGGACGGATTTCCCCAGGTAGGACACTGCATCCCATTACATGACTTAGCTTCACTGGACTGAGTGTTAATTCTTCCTCTATGCACTGCCTTCCAGGAAAATATGAGGAAAATGGACTTTAGGATGACTCAATCCCCTATGCTATCAAATAGGTTCAAAGCAAGTCATGTGGAATACTGGTGGGAAAATAGGGGGATAAGGAGGATACTTGGGGTGAGGGGGAAATGTGCAGTGAGACTACAGTCATCCCTTTGGATTATCTCAATGATCTGTGTGCTGTAAATGAACCCAGCAAATTTTGTATCTGCTTTGACTGATTGAATCTACTCAATCTGAAGTAGCCATGATGTGGTAATTCATTATTTTGAAGGGTAGTAAAAGCATCCTGGCACAATGGTTCCTTTTAAAAATTATTACATTACTATTTCTGTGTTTTTCAGACATAGGCCCAGTGAGTAAGTATGACATCAATGCTCTGTATTGGGACTGAACAGTCTGCAAAACATTTAGGCAAGTGTACGAAAAAGGATAAAAGACTCTAGACACTCAAGTGCCTGCCAGGCAATCAGACGTCATGAGTTCCATCTCTAACATCACCACAGGCCTGGACAGTTAAGTCTGCCTACCAGCCAGTGTCCCTGTCACTTAGGCCCTGTCCCTGTCACAGACTCTTAAGTCAACAGAGAGGCCAGTGGAGTGATTCTAAAATCTGCTCATGTGAATTCCTTTAGTTAGTCAGTATCTATATACTGACATATACATACATTTTTAGCATTTTGAGCTTTTATTGTCTATAATGCATGTAATAGATACTGTGTTTGAGATAAAGCAGAAATTAAGGATCAAGCTTTCATCTACATCCTAAAAGCACTTAAGACAGGTAAGACACACACTTAGAGAAGAGTTTAGCAATTTAGAAATCTGTTTGTTTAGTGAACAAAGTAACAACTATGTATTTACATCTGTACCTTCCCCAGGGGAAAGTGAGGTTATGTATTATAATTAACAGCTTGTTGTCTTTTTACTCTGTGTGGAGAATTGTCTGGATCCTCTGCCACTGTTCTCTTGTTACCCCTTCCTTCACATGCATTCTCTGAGCTAAACTCCATTTTTCTTAACTTATTGCACATTAAGTAGTTGAAGTCCAGAAAGCATGCAGAAAGTTCTAGAAGGTTCAAGACCAGTGTGAAGGATGTTGCTATTTCTTATGTCTAAAACGTTCCATTTGCCTAGAATATTGCTTTCTCCTCTGTCAACTTGGCAAAGTCGTATTCACACTGAAATACTCCAAGCATCTTACATGTCTCATTTCTTGAGACATCAGTTACTTTTAAGATGAATCCTTCCCTCCGAGCTTGCCTCTGTCCTTGAGTGTCACACTTTATCACAATTGTTTTATGTCTCCTTCTTCCAATTGTTTCATGAAGCCCACCAAGTTCAAAACGGTGCTTAGCACATACCCTGAATGCAGACTCGCTGCGTGGCAGTGGAATCTATTGAAAAAAATGGCACTTACTCACCACAGAGCACACTATGGACAATCAGATGGAGTGCACAAGAAGGAGCTCTCAGAAAACAAGCCCTAGATGTACTTGGCTTTTGTTAGGGGTCAGGGATCCATCTAGATGGTGTGCGAACGAGAGCAGAGAAACAGGACATCCAACAGGTAGAATGGGAAGGGATACTCTTGAATTTATGCAAGAAACCAGTAACTATCATGTCATCATTCCATGGAAAGAAAGATGGGAGCAAATCTCCCAGGCTTTCAAAATAGTCTTTGGAAGGGGCTGAAAATGTGACAGGAAGCAGAAAGAAGATTTAATTGAGGGTCGTGCTATAAGGATTGAGATGCCATTCTAGAGGGTGACAATGACTGAGGCCAAAGTGCACTGGACATTTCAGAGCGTAAACCCCGACCAGCCACAGATGGACATCAGAGGGAGCGAGAGGCCTCATCATTAAGGTTGATTCTTCATTAAATACTCTTTTTTGGTGCATATGCATACATACTTTTTACAATTAAGGTCCTCCTAATAGCTAAAAGATCATCACTTATCATTGATAAACAAATACGATAAACACCAACCCCAAATAAAAACACAAATGACTCACCGTTACCCAAATTTCTCACAGTGTATATTACAAAGTGTTAATTATATATGAACGAATTGTAAATACAGCTTCAAAAAATATGAATTGCCTGATGGAAAAAGGAAACACAAATAGTTTTTCCACATAACAATGCCCAAGCTCATACACAGCAAGAGACGTATGAGTTATAGAGACCATTTCTCACTTGTCAGATGGTCAAAAATTAAAAATTTGCCCATGCCCTCTGATCATGAAACTTTATGGGAAAAAGCATATTCGTCAATTTCTGTTCCAACTTGATTCTAAATTCCAGTTCCACGAGGTGTCCCAAAGATACCCAGGCAACGTGGGAAAAAAATTTGCACAGTTATTCATAATATTCTGTGGGTAAAAGTGAGACTAAATTGTAATAAAACTCAACACCACCTGGTCATTCTTCAGTAGGAGACCAGCGAATGGACAACTGCACCCTCCTGTATCAGCAGCCACACAGCTAGGAAAGGAGCCCAAGTCTTTACATGTGACTAGAGAGGACACTCCAGGATACGCTGATACAGCATGTGGACAGGACATATAGCAAGTTCTACAATATGTCTCTAAACCTAAGCGACAAATCTGAAAGTATGTTTCTTTACAGTAATGATGTTGAGAGAGCAAGAGACAGAGACACACAGGGAGAAAGAGAACATTTTCAAAAGGGACTTCTGCTTCAAGATAGAGAACAGGACTGATTTACCCTCCTGCCTTAAACAATTGGAAGAAACAAAAGCACATGTTCATTCAAAGATTTGTTCACAAATATTATGCTGACTTCGTCTGTAATAGTAAAAGTGTGAAAACAACAGATGAGTTGATAAAATTGTGATATGTCGTTGTCAAAAAAGTTCTCAATGATGAAGCAGATAACCAAAGCTCATGCGTGACAGCTTGAGCTTCAGTATATTTTAGTGTGTGAGAAGCCAGCACATAGGTGTATAAAATCCATGCAATGTGTGCTTCTGTTTATATAAAACTCTAGAAAACACAAACAAATGGAGAATAGTCCTCTGTCACTGTTGTCTCCTTTGCTCTTCACAATGATTATATGGGGTAAGCACCATTTTTCTTAAGTTCTTACACATTAGGTAATTGAGATCCAGAAAGCATTCAGAAAGTTCTGGAAGGTTCAAGAACAGTGTGAAGAATGCTGCCATTTCTTATACCTGGAACATTTCATTTGCCTAGAATATTGCTCTCTCCTCTGTTATCTTGGCAAACTCATGTTCACACTTAAATATTTCAAGCATCTTATTTGTCTCCTTTCTTCACATTGGCTACTTTTAAGATGAATCTTAAGTGTGTGAGAAACCAGCACATAAGTGTGTACAGTGCATACAATGGTGTGCTTCTATTTATATAAACTCTCAAAAACAACCAAATAAAGAATGCCAGCAGATCCATAGGTGCCCTGGGGTGAGGAGTCAGGAGGAATTGCAAAGTAGTTGCTGGATGTTCATTATCTGAATGATGGTGTTGACTTTGTAAACCTTTTGTGTTTACAATGTTTCAAAATCCACATATTCCAATAACCTGTAGCCTTCCTTCCATTTCTGTGAGGACCATTACTGTTGCTTTTTCCAGTTGTCCCCATGTTTGTAATTTCCACTCCCTCACAAACATGTAAAACTATCCTCCTACACTAGCATGGGGCTCAGACTTTGGAGTACCACTACCTTTGAGCCTGCTGCTGTGATAAACCTTGGTTTCCTTCTCTTCTCTGAGTGTCATTCAGTTTCTTTGCCTCCAGTAAACCTAAAATTGCTCAGTTTCAGGAGTAGGGAGATATCTGTTCTGCTCCTTAAGTAAACGAATGTTACTTTTTTTCCTTTGTACATGTTGAGAATCTTTACTTTTTTTATTTAAAGAGAAAGAAACAAAAAAATACATGGAGATAAATAGGGTAGAAATAATACAGATTTACAGAAAATTAAATGGTAAGAAATCACCAGTTGATAAGTTACAAATTGTCATCTTAGAAATAGCTGTTCAGGTTGCAAAATTAAAGTACATAAAGTGACATTCAAATAGTGACACTGCCAACAGTTCTGCTCAATGATCTAACAAAAACTTAGTAATATGGTTATCAGTCCTACATACTTGTTTTTTAAATTAAAGAGGGCAAGATTAAACATATCAAAACAGAACAAAACAGTTCAAAAAAACAATTTAAAGAAATATAGATTTCAAAGCAAGTCCACTGTAGATCTTCACTGTTTATCTAATTGTCTCTAGTTTCTTCCAAATAGTTGACCCCATCTTCATGCACATTAAATACATACTGCATATTATAGAACTAATCAAATCATTACAGGATGATGAAGGCTTTTTAGGTCTTCAAGATCTGACATTGGGGAAGACAAAAATAACTATGATAGGATCTCTCATTCTCTTTGTAGCAGCTGTCCTTATCTTTACATATGCTGAAATTGAACTTAAGAGACTAGACTAATATCACTCTGATCAGTGAATAATAGTATTGCTAGATTTTATATCATAATGCTACAGAATTAGCATTGGGTTTCTTAGTGTCTCTTCTTCAGAGCATCTGTTCATTACATTTTGCATTATATAATCTGTTCCTGTAAATAGTTTTTTAAAAAAATCTTCTCATGTGTGAATTTCTACAT